AAAACTCTATTGTTCCTTCCCTATTTGACTGGCCCAGCAGGTTGGCAGGAGCGGGGTCAGGCCCTGCCGGACGTTCCCAGCCCCCCGCTCCCGCGGCGAGGAAAAGCCCAGGGCTCCCCTTATTGCAATGCGTGCCGGCCCCCGGAGCCTCTGGCCCTTTGAATCGGGCGGTCCCAAGGGGGGGCTGACTGCCCCCAGCCCTGCCCCTTCCAGAGCATGGGACAAATCCCTACAACTTACCCGGGGGCCCCGCAAGGCTGCCGCCCCCCGAAAATGGCAGCCACTTTCTGCAAAAGAAAACGGAAGGACAAGGAACTTTTTTTGTTTCATTTTCAAATTGTTGCTGAGATTGCTGCGTGGAGCCAAATGAAAATGCCTTTGTCCGTCCGTCCGTCCGTCTGTCTGTCTGTCTGTCCGTCCGTCCGTCCGTCTGTCTGTCCGTCTGTCCGTCCGTCCGTCCCCCCCGCCCCGGCTGCAGGGGCGAGAGACTGCAGGGGAGAGGGAGGAGCAGCCACAAGATGCATTCGGAGTCCAGGCCTAGCCCTTGCAAACTGGCCACAACCAGGCCTGCTCCATTTGAAGCAAAACCCCCCCAGGACAGCCAAGCGCCAGGTCTCACCGTCCCGCTGGCGCTCTTGTCTCAGGGGCAGGCGCGATCCCAGCGCGCGGGCCCCGGCTGTGCCCAGTCTCCCGTGGGAGCTGGGTCAGCCCTCTGGCCTCCTGTGGAGCCAGCACTTGTCTGCCCCCCCAAGCCACTCGCAGGAGTGTCCCGGACTGAGTTCCACGCGTGACACCCCCGCCCGGGGAGGAGCCCAGGCCCTGGAGGGGGAAGCAGCCCCGCCCCCAGGGAGCTTGGCTGGGGGGGTGTCGCAGCGGACATACGAGTGCTCCCAAGGCCTCTGCCCTCTGCTGGGGGGGCGTCCCCAGATAATCCTTCCCGGTGATCCACATGGCGGAACAAGGTGGACCCCCCATCCTGCTCCCTGCCCGTCAGACCTGGGGAAAATCCTCCTTAACCTCGAAACGTAACCCTCATGTGTGAGCAGGAGGCACCAACTCAGCAGGTCGCGGGCTTCTCTGGACCCCTCCGAGCATCCGCCCAGGCTGGCTGTATCCCGGTCCAGCTGCGGCCCGTCCCCCATGCAGCACAGGAAGACACGGACGACCTCAGCCTGCATCTGGCGAATCGCATAACCAAGGAAAGATTCCTCCCTGGAGGCGACTGGCTGACGCCCTGAAGCGCGAGGGATGGTTCTAGTCTCTGTCATGCAGAGCTGCAGGGGTCCAGCCCCTGGGGAGGGACACGAGGCGCTTGCCCCACAGCCAGCGGGACAACAGGACCGCCCAGCCCGGCCCCGGGAGCACACAGGCGAGAGGGGTGAATGAGGCGTGGTTTTCCCGGCACAATGCTGGCCCTTTGTCTATTATCTCTGCCTCCTTGTCCTTGCAGAGGCCGGTGTCGGGGAGATGGAAAAGATAAGGTGAAACAAAAGCCTTCAGGCAGGGGTCTGCCCGGCTTCGCTGGCACCCAGAGCGTGGCCCATTCTCTGATGGCTCAGACTTACTTCCTCCATTGCAAAACAGCCGTGACTGGAAGGCAGAAGCAGCATTCCAGGCAGGCCGGCGGCCGCGGCAGAGCTGTGCCAAGCTGGGCTCGTGGGAGCCAAACGTGGGGTTGTTTTCTTCCCTCTTGCAGCCGTGTGCGGGCGGGCTCTGACGGGCAGCCCAGGAAGTGAATTCCTCACGGTCGCTGGGCTGTGTTCGCGCTGTGCCGGGGGCTTTGCACACAGCCCTGCCCCAAGCACCAGGCCGTGGCGGGGGGGCAGCGAAAGGGCCCCTGCTCTGCCACGGGACAGGTCGGGCGAGGCGCCAGTGGAGGGGACTGACCCCTGCCTACGAACCCCTACACACAGCGGCCACACAGGAGGCGCCTGGTGGTTGGTTGGTGCTGAATTTACCAGTTGCCAATTGTGGATCCCCGGGATTGTCCTGGGAGGCCGGAGGGAACGGCTCAAAGGCCGGGCGCCGTGGCCGGAACGGTCTCGGGCCGGCTGGGCACAGGGCGGGCCAGGGACGCGCTCCCCAGGACACCCCCGGAAAGCGGCGTGTTCGAAAGGGGCTGGACGTGCCGGGCCCCGGGCAGTCAGGAGCCAGCGGCAGCAGTGGGGCTGCGTGGGGACGTGAGCGAGGAGGGGGAGGCGGGTGCACCAGGACGATGGACCGGTGGGCCGCCATGGGGTGCAGCAAAGGGCTGACGGTGAGCTGAGGGATGGCAAACCTGCCCTGTGCGAGGAGACGCCAGGCGCGTGCCGTGGGTCGCCGGGCCACAGGGCTGGGGGAAGCTCTGGCGGCAGTCTGCTGTGTGTTCCTCCCCAGCCGCCTGCCTGCTGGGTCTCACCCCGTGCCCAGGCCTGCTGGTCGCCGTGCAGGAATCCCCCCAGCTCAGATGGGCAGAGACCCTGGAGGTTTCTGGCCTTCCTATGAGCGTGAGGCCCAGGGCCCTGGCTGGGTGACACTGGTGTCAATGGCGCGTTCTCTGCCGCGTCAGCCTGTAAATGGTGGACGCTGCCAGAGCTCTGGGGTCTACCCCAGCAGTGGGGGAAGGGAGGGGCAGGAGGGCAGACCAGGTGATCGGGAGGGTCCCTTCGGGCCCTGGCGTCTGCGCGAGGGGCTTTCTGGGGCGGCACAGGCTGTCCTGCGCACGGAGGGTATTTCCCTTTGCCCTGGCCACGCTCCCCTGCGTCTCGCCCCAAGCGCCAGGGAAACGTCCCTGGGGGAACCCTGCCCCATGGTATTTCCCCACTGAGTGGGGTCAGGCCCTCACCCCTTTCCTGTGGGGCAGGGCAAGTCTCTCAGCATCCCCCCGTCACCGCCCTCTGGACTGCAGGCAGCCGCGGCACCAGAAGAGGGACGTGCCGCCTCGGCAGGGTGCTCCGCTCTGTGGGAGACGGGCGCAGAGGGCGGCGCTGCTCAGCGCGGAGGGGGCGCAGAAGCTGGTCCGTAAGGGGCAGCCATTGCCGTTTCTCAGTTGCCTGGGGCCTTGTGCTGCTGCCTTTCTCCGTTGGGTGAGTCCGACATGAAGCGAGCGCAGCCGAACGGGGCCAACTCGACGAGGGCAGGGCGGCCGAATCCTCAGCACACGGCAGAACCAGCGACCTCCCCGCTCCGCCGGTTCCCCCGCCCCCGCCCCGGCTGGCTGAGCGGCTGGGAAAGCTCTCCTGGCCCTTTCAAAGCGAATGCCGGGCCCTGGTGACCGGCCAGCGTTCCCTGTGGCCATATAACGAATGCCCAGGGCTGTTACAGCCGTGTCACCACTGTGCTCACTGCCCCGTCGCTGCTCCAGGAGATCCTAGCGCATTGATTCAGAAATGGGCACAATGGCGCCAGGAAATCCAGACTCTCTCCTCTGGTCCTCAGCTTCCTTGCAAAGCAGGAGTCTGAGTCGGTCAGTGGCAAGAATGAGGCAATACTGATGGGTTGGAATAGAGGCTGTCCACCTGTCCGCCATGGCTTCCCAGGTTGTGACGGGGTCAGGCCACTGGGCGAGAGGAAGACCTCCGCAGAGGCAGGCGCGGGAGAGAATTTTGGCTGACGAATACCTGAGCTGTTTGCACATGACGGAAGAGATGGGCTGCCACGCTACAATTTGTTTCCGCCCAGGCCAGTCTGTAGAATCAGTTAGAACGGTGAGGATTTAACAATAGTAAGGACAACCAAGAATTTGCCGCACGCCTTGTTTTTCAGGTTCTCTTGGGCAGTGGGCAGTTTTCATGAGACAGTGAGTCACAGAATTCCTGTTGTAGGTCAGAGCCTTAGGAAAACTCTAAACTCCCATTTCATAAAGTTCTTCCCTGTGTGTTCAGTGCACTGAGGCATTTTATATCCACTAAATAATGCCACACATGACCCAACAATTCATCCATGGGTATAAAACAAAGGAAGACAGATGTTCTGTAGATCCTGGAGCTGTTTGAATTTGGCATGGTTAAACATCCAGCATGACTTCAGTGTTTAGTCTGTGAGCCCTCCAACGTCTCGGAAAGAATATCGAACATACCCAGTGGGGTCTAGATCCTTGGAAGCACGTTCTCATCAGTCCCGTTTTCACTTCCTTTGAAAGCACATTAGCGATCTGCACCCCTCGATGTTTTGTTTTGGGACTGCGCCAAAGAGCCATGTAAACTCCATTCACAGAAGCGACAGAATATTAAGACTTACGGAAACCAGACGTGCCTTAGTCTCTTGTGTCAGTGCATCAAAAGGTGAGATACTTTACGGCTGTTGTGTGGTCAGCTTGCCCAATCTGTTCTCACATATCAAACCTAGAGAGACAGAACTATTTGATCTGGGAGCTGGAGTTTCCAGTTTTAAACTTCTCACGTCCTGGTTGTATGTGGAAGGCCATTTTCTACTAATATGCTAGAACGAGTCCATTTCCTCAATATTTTGACGGTGACAAAAATCCTGCTGAGGGTGGACAATTGTTTCTCCTCTCTCTGTCCCCTGAATGGCCGCGTTACAGCAGTGCTCCAAGCATGTGCCCATCATGTCTCTCTTTGTAAACGGCCTCTTCGGTTCTCTCATTCTTTCCTACAAGTGCCTGATGGTTCCGATACTGGCCTGCTTCACTGGTAACTTGGATTCCCTGGTGCCGAGTACTCAGGAGATGGGGCTGGCTGTGCAGACAGGTGGAAGGGGCCGGTGAGCCATGGGCTAGCTTGGTGTAAAACAGTCACTATTCATAGGTCCTGTCTATGGTTTTAACTTCTCCAAGGCAGAGCCCCAGGCTTCCGAGTGTCGACGCCAATCTACTGTGAGAGTTTGTCTGCCTGTTGGTTCACGAACTCTACCTAATTGTAAGAGCTCTGAGCCCCAAATCCAGCGTGCAGCAGAGGGGTCTTGGCAGCTCTGATCTTAGGCTGGGTCTTGGAGAAGTGGGCAGTGCCCAGGAAAGCTCATGACCCCGTCGACATGTTGTGTTGGTCTCTAAGGTGCTGCAGGACTGTCCGTTGTCTTTCAGTTACAGACTAACACGGCTACTCCTCCGAAGCTTCCTCTTCTGATAGCTTCAAGCAAAGTCAGGGCTTCGTGGTGCAGGTGCAGGGGTGCTGATTTGTACAGGGACACACAAAAAGAACTCCTCCTAAACAGTAGGAGCTAGGACCACCAAACTCCGTCTGCAGGGCCAGGGGCGGGTTGTGCCAGGACAGTGGGGTGTGCCTGGAATGGGATTGCGTCTCATGCAACAGTACAGAAGAGACAATCGCCAGGCGGGTGAAAGGGGCTGGTGGGGGCCCTCCCCTC